AGGGAAAGAAGCAACAACGACTAGATCATTTTTGGCATTTTAACACGGAGACAAAAGTGGTAACAATAGCAAAGCAAAAAATAATAAAAAAGACCAATATTTAACTTTCCCATCACCCAAGTCTCACACTGAAGTTCTATCCCCGTTTCCCCCATAAGCACCACTGAACTAAAAAATCTATTTTAAAGCACCCAAACCAGTCCAGACCCTCTCGAAACCAAGAGCCCCAGCCAGAGCTGTCGCCTCTCTTGGGTCCAAGCGAGAGGAGGGTTCTGGGAAAGGCACCTCATAACTCACGCAGCGCGACGCCGGGGACGGGTTCGGGCACAGGGCACTTGGCGGGGAGCCGGGGTGGCAGTCACAGCCTCTGTGCTGACACGCAGGGAAGGGGACTTCTTCCGTGATCCCAACTATTTGGTTACACAGCCAAGCAAACGTGACTAGAGAGCTGGGTTAGCGGAACAGGGACCCGGGCCTCAGGAACAGACCGGGCCCCTTCCAGCAGGATCCAGCGAGGGGGAAGGGGTTCGGAATAAAGACAGAAGCACAAAGGCGATAAAGGCTGGTACACAAAGGGCTGATCCTTCTTTGCAAGGACTCCAGAATGCACTTTTTCCTGCTGGCTGGTCAATCTCTAATAGCGAGTGCTGGCGAGGCGGCCCCGGCTCAGAGGAGCCTTCGAGCTGGATCTGGAACCAGATACACTGTCCCCACGTCTGCCCACCCCCGCAAGTCCCCACTGGTTCCACAATCACCTGATTTTCATTTGGACTTCTTTTACAGCTAAAGCAGATATAAATGGCTAAACACAGATCCCCCACCAGGGGGGAAAACGGCAGATTCTATTAATGTCGCGGCCAAAAGGCGGCGGGGGGCTTAGAAGCAGCCAAAGGGAGAAGCACAACACACACGGCCTGAGCCGGGCTCGAAGGAAAAGCAGGAGAGAAGTGACCCAGATGCTTCCGAGCACACGGGCGCCATTTTGGATGGAGACTGACCACCAGGGATGGTCTTTGCCTAGACGCTGCCGGCTCCCACAAGGGACATTTTTTTCTGAGCGTGTGGCGACTCCTCTCCCAGGTAGCACCCACTGGGCTCACAATGCTAATCACAACCGGGAAGGGGTGTTTTTGACAAGTGTATGTAGGAGAGCGGGGTAGAAAAGGAAAACTTAAAAAAAAAACAAAAAACAAACCTAGATTGCTCAAAGTTTCTGCCTCTTTTGTAGGAATGGTAAGTCAACTATGAGCAAATATTTTAATTAATCATTAAGAGGGGAAAAAAAAAAAACACTTTGGAAAGCATACAGGAAAGGTAGTTGACGTTGAATCACTTATAAAAACGGAACCTCAGGGAGTCTTAACAAAAATGCACCTTCGGTCAACTTTTGCTTTTGAAAATTCCTCGTTTGACTTCCCGTCCCAGTGCACGTGGAAATGACAGCTGCCGCGAGAGGTGTGGAGCTGGAGAGGCTCCGGGAGCATCAGAGGGTCCGGGGGTTGTACTCCGGCAGTTTCTTGACCTTCTCCTTCTCCGTCTCACTTTCGTCTCTCGCTATCACCAAGGAGTGTGAGTAACCCATGGCAACCTGGGGGAAAAAACCAGCGCTGGGTGGGCAAGGGTGCTTCGGCTAGGCAGAGTTTGGGGCCGACAAGCCCAAAGCAGACGACGGGACACAGGAAAGCTGGGCTCGCCAACGGGGCTCAGTATAGAGGTCAAAACAGAGGCATCCTGAAAAGCTCAAGATAGCCCTTTGCTGAGGACCACCAGTGTCAACGTGACCTGCCACCAATGTCCTGCTAGCCTGCCCTCTGGGCTGTCCCGGGAGACAAGGTGGAAGGAGGACCCCCAAGCAGCGTTTGGTTGCCGACTGCCTGCAGAGGCTGCGGGGACTCGGGACCGTGCTCCCTGCTCCCTGTGCCTCTCTGGACCACAGCCCTGGCTTGTGCAAGGGCACAAGCCCCACGTGCGTATTGGTGACAAGGGCTGGCAGCCTGGTGAGAGGCCTCGCCCCACCAGCTGCCCACAGCCTAATGCTGTATAGAGTCTTGGGTGAAGGTACCAAGCTGACGTGAGTGATGCACTCGGCCTGGAGCAAATCTGCTATGGCTGGACTCTGGCCGGTGTCCCTCAGGGTGACAGCAGCCACGGGGCCTAGCCAGCACACCTCTGTGCCTTCCCCGTCACCCAGCAGAAAACTCTAGCACGGGGCACAGGAAAGCTACGCAAGGAGATGTCAGATGAGGCTCAAGCGGGCTGCAAAGAGCAGAAGCAGGAAGAGGCACGATTCGGCTCTGCTCTTTTCTCTCTGCTCCTGCGCCCCACCTCCCAGGCCCAGGGCTCCTCACTCACCTGCTCCGTGAAGATGCCATCGAGCGTCTTCACCTCCTGAGCTGCAGTGGAAGACTTGGGCTTGTGATCCCCATAGCCCTGGTGAGGCAAACAGAGGGATGCTCACAGAACCCGGGTCACTAACACCAGTCAGAAAGAGGGAACCTCACCATGTGGCTGGATCTCCCACGGACCCGGAAGCCTCTGTGACCAAGCCCCGCTGTCTCAGACCCAAAGCCAGGCCCGGACAGCAACAAGAATCCACAGGTGCCAGCAGGTGACCGGTTCCTAACCCCAGGCCCGAGTCGCTAAGACGTAAGCTATAGGGGTTTATGTGATGAGGACACCTTTTACGGAGAGTCACTGGTCAAATGACACCATGGCGAGGGCAGGAAGAAATGCCAACTGCGGCCCTTCAGGGCCACCAGGTCACAAGGAGTGCTGGCTGGCCCCGTCCCCACCTGTGTCCATGATCAGCAATGACTCCAGGACACCGGAGATGGAAGGGACGGTCAAGGACTGCTTGGGGGGCGGGGGGGTTCTGTCATGTGCTGTGGTGTGAAGATGGGCGATTTCAAGGTGGACAGGTCCCTCAGCTCAGCTCAAAGAGGGGCCTACATGGCAGATGAGCTTCAGCTGCCACCGGCCAAGTGCCACGCCAACTCCTCACCTGAGAGGCTGCCCCCAAAGTCCCCCTCGTTCCCCTCTAGTCTCCAAATCGATACTCAGAGTCTATGTCTGATAGGCCCTAGGAACATCTGTCCTTCTCTAAGAACAACCCATAAAAACTGGGCAAGGGGGCTTCCCTGATGGCGCAGTGGTTAAGAATCCACCTGCCAAGGTAGGAGACACGGGTTCAAGCCCTGGTCCGGGAAGATCCCACATGCCGCGGAGCAACTAAGCCCGTGCGCCACAACTACTGTGCCTGTGCTCTAGAGCCTGCGAGCCACAACTACTGAGCTTGCACGCCACAACTACTGAAGACCTCACGCCTAGAGCCTGTGCTCCGCCAACAAGAGAAGCCACCGCAATGAGAAGCCCCTGCACCACAACAAAGAGTAGCCCCTGCTCGACGCAACTAAAGAAAGCCCGCGTGCAGCAACAAAAGACCCAACACAGCCAAAAATAAAATAAACAAATAAATTAAAAGAAAAAAACTGGGCCAGGTTCTCAGTCTCTTTCAAGCTTCCACATATGGGGCCACCTCTGAAGGGCCCCCCAGCGTCTGCGGCACGTGGGGCCCCCTCTGAAGCCACCAGACTGAAAGCGGACGCACAGCTCCGAGGAAAAGGCATGTTCAGGCCCCCAGCCCTGGAGATGGCGCAGGGGGTCAAGAAGCACCCGCCTCCTTCCATCACCCCATCAGCTCCTACCCATGAGAGCAGAGGGAAGGGAAAATAGGCCGAGTTCCCAGCAGGAAATAAAAGAGCCAGGCTGACGATCAAATTGCAGGTAGAACAGGTAGACCGTCAGGATGAGCTCCATAGCCCGGCTGTTCTTGAGGAAGACGTTAAAAGTTAAGGACTCACCACGCCCCAGAAGCTAAGAATCACACGTTTGGTTGAGGAGGCCAAAGCTGTGGGGGAATCCGAGGGCCATGGGTTCTAGTCACTCAAGTGACTGAGATTAAAAGCAGGAACACAGACAAACTTATTTGGGAAAAAAAAGAGAAGAATGTCCCCAAGAGGCTGGAAACCAGAAAGATTCAATGCACGGTCACAACTGACCCCACCCGTTTAAAAGGACAAGCTGTTCCTGTCGATTGAAACTCCTGGGGAGAGGGAAGAGAAACCATCCTCTTTCCTACTGACATCATCCCACAATAACGGTTTACAAAACATGAGGGGAAATGGGATCTGAAACTTCCCCATTTCAACTTAACAATGTGGACAGAAGAACTTTCACAATTATTTGAGGAGCAAAGGAACACTCGTGAAACCTCAAGTGATCTAAACATTAGGGAATACCGCAGATCTTCATGCAACAAGGAAACACACGCGCACGCGCACACGCACAGGCACGCGCACACGCACGCACGCACTCTCCTGCGAGTTTTCAGGGGTGGTTCAGGGAACCCAGAGAGGGCTCAGCCTCCGCCAGGCGGACCAGCTTACCAGTTCCCCAAAGGTTGGCGACGGGCCCCAGCTGATCGTGCTCTCGTCTGCAGCCACGATGATGCTGCTCTTCCTGCAAACGGGCAGAGGCTGTCACCGCTGGGGGCGGCAGCCCAGCGCTGCACCTCACCCACCCAGCAGCCCAGGGCACTTCCCGTGGGCTCCCTGCAGGGTGTGACCTACTAGCATTAAAATCAAGCTGGTCCCACTAAAAACTCCATTCCAAACAACACAGCACAGGGCCAATGGGCTGCTTCTGAAGCCCAAATGCTGTCCCGCGCAGGCCCAAACTGCAGAAGCCCTTAGAGCCAGAAGCCTCAGGGCCCCAGATCTCCCTGCCCCACCCCACTCGGGCTCTAGGGCTCTTGGGGTGGGGTGGGGTCTCTTTTAGATGAATAAACACACTGGGAAAAGGAGAAGAGAACAAATCAGGATGAAGTGAGAGTCTATCCCAAAGGGGGCGGAACTTGCCAGACGACTTGGGCGGGGCTAGAGGTTTCAGATTAAAACCACACCGAACCCCCAACAACTACACTGCCATCTCCCCAAAACCTGGCAGGTGATGAACATTATCAAACTCCTCATCAAGAAGTGCTACAGGGGCTTCCCTGGTGGCGCAGGGGTTGAGTGCCCCCCTGCCGATGCAGGGGACGCGGGTTCGCGCCCTGGTCCGGGAGGATCCCACATGCCGCGGAGCGGCTGGGCCTGTGAGCCATGGCCGCTGAGCCTGCACGTCTGGAGCCTGTGCTCCGC